GAATATACAAAAACTAAAATCATTATAGCAACTGCATTTTAAACGATTACAGGTTAATCAAACTCTTATGCAGTGCGGTATTATGTTTATTATTAACATTGTTCAAGTCTCAGATATTATGCTAAAGATAATAAGGCCCTGTAAGTTCGAATCTCAGTAAAGTGACTTTTAAAACTATAGTTTATTTCCTTAAGCCCTATAGCCACACAATTAAATGTAATTTGACAAAAAGCATGTGACATGACTAAATATGGTCATGATGACATCATATCATGACCATATACAGGCATATGATGACTATATATGGGCATACGAACAGTTTTTGTCAAAGAAAATTTGATAATCTGGACACAGCTAATTATTTGTTAATTTATACATTTAAGTATTACCACATGATTGTTCAGGGTATACATATGCCTATTTAACAGATTAAAATATTTAATACCGTATCATACTAGACAAGACAATTATTGTTCAAGATATTACAATACACCACAATGACAATTGTTGTTCTAATGATTATTTTTTGACTGATTCACATTTGGAAAACGGTGATCTGTATTTGGTCTAGTGTGACATTAAGCATTATACACACTAAAAAAAATCTTGCTATCACATTGATGAATTATTTTTGAAAAATTGCATCTCCTAATGGCTCACTTCGACCTACTTCTCTTTCAATCAGTATACGCCATTACTCTCTTTTTTAACGATGCGTTTTGTTGTGAGTATAGGCCTAGGCCTAAGTAATGCCATGGAGACATACATACAGCACATACACAGAACACAAATGCAAGAAGCACAGAAAATAAGAAATACAACCCTCCATAAAAGAAAACTTCACTGAAGCAAGTTTGTATGTGAAGCTACAGTAATTTGTTTATGCAATGCATAAGGAGTCTAACAACATGCTTACTGAGATGTAAATATCCTAATCTCTCCATCCTCGGTTATCTGGGACGCGTTGCTAAACTAGATCTATATTACGTAAGCATGGTTAACACTAACACGCTCCGAATACAAACGCAACAGAATTGGTGCAAATCAAGCCACTGTAAGCTTACAGTAGTTCACGGTGGGCAATGGACCTTCCATGGGTGTCAATCAAACTTGACAACTGACCAAACAACTGACCAACCAGAACAGGGTCAGAAATACGCGCGTGTCCTACAAACACAAATGTGCTGTCCCATAAACGTGTTTACGTACGTTTATGCTACTGTTTTTAGGGACCTTAGCAACAATATCGAACGGGGTGCGGAAATGTCTATTTAGACGCGTTGCCTAATACTGGACACACATTGGACGGACGGCCCGGTCGGCCGACGCCATCGAATACAGAGAACGCAAAGCGACAACGACGCGTGAAAATATCGTTGTTAATGACGATCCGCTCAGACTGCCACGGAGAATCAGCAGACGGCGTTGCGTCGACAAGCATTCCCATAAAGCGGAAATGGAATCGTCGACCGACGGTCGCGTCGTACGACACAGAATGTGCTACTACGCATTTTAACACAATTTACCAAAGCAGAACAATTCAAAATTACCGATGATAGCAGTAAAAGGATTGCACTGAAAACACAGTAGTGACAGCGTAGCGATATTAAAGAAACCAGGCTTTACGCGCTTGTCGGAGATATTAGGCAGTTTTCGCCGCACGACGTTAACCTTAAAGTAAACGGATGACGTCATAATTTATTCATCTTGCGTTGCGGAGTACGTTAATTTCAGGATTTTACGTGCTCGACGTACGTTAGTTACGGGTTTGCGCATGCGTATTTCCATTTGTTTACAAAAGGGGCGGAGCTATCGCGTTGCATGTTGGGTGCTAACGTTAAAGTTAAATTACCTATTGTTCCATTCCCCTATCAGAAAATCCGAGCGCCACTACTAGCTACTTAAGTTTTAATAAAAAAAACTTGATTGGGAATAGGCCTACATCCTACGAGTTCTATCTAGACGCATGACGTCACATTATAAAGAGTCCAACTTTTTGCAAATGGGTAAAGGAATAATGAAACAGCCGGGTACTTGTGGAAATATTTGAAAATAGGCGCACACCACAGCAATAATATATGTGCTAGCTCCCATGCTCATGCGCAGGTACACGGCAGTTTTTCACAAGAAGAAGATAATTGAAAATGAAAATTTTGCGTTTTCATTTGGCAGATCATGGAGGAATAAGTTAACTTATTCCTCTGTGGGCAGATGTGCTATTGCGTCTTATCTGTACATGGTGTGAACCAATTTTGAGCCTATTATCGTAACACAAGAACCATACGCTTCCACCAAAACAGTCAATTGCAAATGCATCATGTGACCTACTGAAATTGAAATGCAAACACTACTAGTACTATAAGCACAAATTAGTTGGAGCCAAATTTGTACAGTAAATACTAATGCCCTTAAACATTTATTTTTTATATTGTTTTTCTGTTTTGGTAAAGTTTATGCTTCCTCCTTGTACTTCGCTGGGTGGATCTGAATTTTGCCTGTTCTTTAGGAGGACTTATATAAGTATGTCGACTATTGCGTTCCCCGATTAGTTATTCTCTATCAATTTATTTAATACCACAAAATCGATTGAAACAAAATAACACATTTGCGTATATTAAAGAACAATGAATAAATCATTTTAATGATACAGTATAGGTAATGGGTGTGTGTATTCCTTGCCTAATTCAAAATTAACATGGTAAAATTGAGTTTCTAAATTGCTAATCGATAAACTCTTACCTTTCCATTATTTGGTACTTGCATTATAATAATAGACTACGTATACGTTATTAAGTCAAACAATGAATGAGGCAGCTATTTCTATACCTGCCCCTGGCAAGCAGTCTAATTAAGATGAATAACGTTTAAGCTCGTATAACAGTTAATTAAACTCATCATAACACGATTAGTTGGAATTGTGCAGCTCGTAACATGTTTGGCGTTGATAGGTGCATAATTCCCTTTAAATTATCGAGCTATTTGTCAGTTACTGGTGAGCAGCAGAAAACATTCGCTAACGTTCTGAACGTTGTCGTCGACCGACGCGATTCTATAAAGAACGCAACGCTACGACTCCCGCGCAACGGATTATTATTATTATTTTTTTTTTTTGACGATCCGTTCAGACTACACCGACAATCAAACGGTGTCGCGTCGCATAGCGCTCGCAGGGAGCGGTGCTGGATTCGTCAGCCGACGGTCAAGCAACCGTCTCGTATGACGAAGTTAGTGCCTGGTTTTAAATAATGCGAACGCAATGCTTTTCTGCAACGTTTATATGGACTAGGCCTACATACATTACATCACTTATATAAGCGCTATTTCATGAAATCAAAGAGCTTGGACTAGTAACAGTTTTATACACTAACTTTCTTTACCCCTAAGAGTCTCTTTGTGTCTGAGCTGGCTGGTAAACTGGTAAAAGATACTCTCGTCTGTCCACAATAAGGGATGTATGGACCAATACAACGATGTAACCCTCTACTCGTCTCAAAAGATGTACTGGGTTCTTGCACTTGTGCCAATTGTGTTTACACTGGGCCTACGGTTAAGTCATTATCCGAGAAGACTTGTTCCACTTTGTTCCAACCATTGATTAGCAGACCGTTCGAACCAGCGCCGATATTATGGATGTAGGTTGGTGCCCCTGCCTTAACAGCTCGGCCATTCGCCTCAACATTTACAAAGTTATTTAGTTGGAAATTACGTTATAAATACGTTTGTATGGGTTTCATTGATTTACTCAGATTCTGCTACCATTTTTTTAAAAAATTGGTGACATAAATGATATGCTTACTTTTTCTCCTCCCATATTCTGGTTAAAAGTCTAAAACTTATTGAAATGTACAAAGTAAAAATATCAATATACAATTTTCACAAACGTCTTGAATTATTGATTTACTGTGCAATTTAAAAATTTATTATTTTCTAAAATATTTTATTTTTGGTACAATTTTTAAAAATTTAATGGTGTATTTGTTTTGGCAAATTGTATTCTCATTATTATTTACTTAAAAATCCAACGATCATTCTTTTCTCTCTCAATCACACCGAGTTTTCGACTATACAAAATAAATCGAACACAAATGTCAGCAACTCCCGTGTGATGAAATAAAATTGTAACTTTTGATCAAACCAGACGATAGTCTAGCTAACGTAAAATAGGTAATAGAGTATTTTTTTGAGCAACACCATTTCCTGGCCTTCTTATAATTCAAGCTGAACATTAACCGAAAGCTGTACACACGCACCTAATTATGAATTAACTTATTATTACCATTGAAGACAAGGATAAAATATTATGATGGGAAACGGATGCTGAGTTAGGGTATTTTACATAATGTTTATATGTTATCGATTCAAAGGAGACACACGACGAAAAGTATTGATATAAATCGCGTTGAAAGCTTCATTTCAAAATGGAAACAATATAGAGGTATAATAACCCTCGATGTGTATTTAAAGAGACTTTGGGGTGACCTGTCATCATATATTTTTCAGCACACATTTTAAATAATGCATTTTTATACGTATATTGACAGTGTAAAACCATTATGCGATTTTCTGCATTGAAGAAGGGAGGTCTATATTTATGCGCGTTATTAACAAATGTATTCTACGTGTGAAGAACAACTTGCCCTGATAGTAGGCATTTCCTTCAAAATAAATCTTCTACGCTCAAGTGAAAGCAATCTATAATTGAGAAAAAACACTTGGTTATAATTTAAAAATGAAAGAACTTGCCACCGTGATGATGAAAGTGGCATTCACACGTGTTCACATTATTAGTGGTAAGTGTAAAAGTCAGAGTGCGCGTCTATAGTATGTGTGCCACCCACAACCGGCCAATCATCATGCATATACTATGGAATCGTTTACATTATTTCAACAACCCATCGATCAGAATGTAAGGGGCCCAGGCCGACTGAGCCACACTCCCCAACATTTAATCCGCCTCTGACAAGCAATAAAATGATATAAATTCAAAATCATGGACTTACCATCTCTACGATTTGGTAGACAGACAGCGTCATAGAAACATTGACGATGTGCGATGAGTTCCAGACAGGCCGGACTTTTTTGTTGTAGTCCCGGAATAAATCATCGTATAGTTTCTGTTCGTTTCCCCCATACATCGCTGCAGATCAAAAGAAACAAAAAAGGTGAAAAGAAACGCAGAGATGAGAAGAAACACAAAACGATGAAAGGAAATGCAAAATAATGGAAATATGTGTCAAACACACAAAAAGCGTATAGCAGCAGAATAAATTATCATACATTATAGTGTAATTATACTAGGATAGTTCGAAGTGTATAATACAGGGTAAAACGATTAAAAAAAGAGAAATGCTCTTAATAATTATTTATATGTTACCGTATTGATTTATGTAAAAAATGAAGCTTGTAAGTATAATAACGATATACTCTAACAAAATTGCATAATAAATATTTCGATTGTATAATATCATGAAAAATTCCTAGTTACTTTTTATTCTCTGCGAGGAGAAAAAACTAATTTATACAATTGCTTGTTTTGTATGCTTCTGTTAAATGGAACTTCCGCTAAGCCCCGCCCCTTGGATATTGTTGCTAAGGTAACACAAATCGACAGTAGCCTGGTTCTCACGAGAGCCCTAGTATCCGGATCGGGAGCTAACCGTTAACGCTAACCGTTAGCACCTGCGTGAGAACGCCCGATCGGTTAGCGCTAACCGTTAGCAGTATCCGGATACCGCTAACCGTTAGCAGTATCCGGATACCGCTAACCGTTAGCAGTATCCGGATACCGCTAACCGTTAGCAGTATGCGGATACCGCTAACGGTTAGCAAGCGCTATCGGTTAGCAAGTTGAGCGCGTTTTTATCATCAACTAATCACACGTACGCGTTTACAATTTCCAGTTTCTTATTGGCCAGTGATTCGATCATCCTATTTTTGGTATCCGGATCGGGATTTTCTCGTATGGACGCCCGGCAGCTAACGGTTAGCAGGATCCGGATCCTGTCAACCGTTAGCAGCCGTGTGAGAACATAGCCACAATGTTGGAAATCAGTGGACAACACGTGTGTTTGTGAGACGCGCGCGTATTCCTGGCGCTGTTTTGATTGGTCAGTTGTTAAGTTTCATCGACACTCAGGAAAGGTCTATTGGCTGGTAACCAAAGAATGACAGTAAACTATCTATAAAGAAGTTAAACCTGTTTAATATGTTTCAATGCATGAAGTTGATAACTTATATTGATCTTTTGAAATGAGCAATTTGTTTGTTAATTAAATTTGTAAAATTATTTTTCATATCTCACTAACAAACGGTATATGTTTAAAACAAATATCGTTGACATATAAAGGTTAGGCCTATATACATACATAATTGCAAATCATAAAAAAAGACATAAACTCAAACAAACAAAATTCGAACATTATTTAGTGTTACACTATAGGCTACTATACGTGCGCACAGCATGACTACGATAGTACTAATATAATAAAATAAATCATCTATGTAATATGAAACCACGATAACCTCGTTGGATGATAATGTATGTTATAACATAGAGGTTATATACAACAAAACCTATACACAAAAATAAAGTGTGTTAACGTAAATAGTTGTATTGTATACTATACAGTACAATCAGTTATTATTATTACTTTACTCTCATTTTTTTGTTGTTGATATATTATTATATAATTTATATAATCATTATTGTTGAGAATAATAATAATATTAATAAAAACAACGAAAACATAATAAGAGCAATAATAATTATTATGGTACAAACATGTATTATAAAAATCACAATAACTGTTATTGATAATAATAATAGGCCTACTTTTATAATAATAATAATAATAATAATTATTATTATTATTATTATTGTTATTATTATTATTGTTGTTGTCGTTATTATTATTATTATTATTATTATTACAGTATATTTAAATACTATTTTTGGGAATAATAATAACGTTAATAACAACAGTGACAACATAATAGTAAAAATAACAATAAATTATTATAATAAGAGTAGGCTTACTATTATTAATAATATTAATGATTATTATAATCAATAATAGTACCATAATTCACTCAGAGGGCTATTTATTACAACTTTGACATCACTATTAATAATTCGTTGCTATGGCAACCGCTTTGAGTCAATATTTTACAATAATAATACTATATGTATTATTTTCATATATAGCCAAAGTCTGCTCTCTGCACATCTAAAATTAGACTTTAGTGTTCAAGCAGAGGCTTACGGTACTTCGTCAATATTATCAACATACGCAACATAGTTAAATTAATAATATTGCGTCGAGATGGAGAGGGAAAATCACTTGAAATATTTAACTAAAAAAAAAAAAAAAAAAAAAAAAAAAGAAGACACTCCATCAAGGAAAAGTGGGAGAGAGTGGTGTAACGCTTCTGGTTCGTGTTCTGAACCTTCAGGTTGGGTTTCGAATCCTTAGTACAAGGTAGTTTATTCACATTCTCTCTCTCCAACCATGAGTACAATGATTCCTGCTGGAACATTATGGGATATTCTCCCAGGGAGCTGATAGTGTTTTTCATGGTGGTTTTAATCCAACTACTGAGTAAATATCATTGTTATACTGATGAGCGTAAGAGAGTTTCCTTTTTCATACTTGGCTGACGTCATTTATTTTATGCTGAATTCTTTCAATAAAAATTTGTTTACATATGACAAGTTAAAGTACCTGGTATTTAAATTAAATAGTGTAAATAATGTAGTTTAGACTTGAAGTTGTCGAACTAATTTGCAATAGACATTTCTGACGTATCAACCAAACTAAACAATTAACCAATCAGAACAGGGTAATTATACAACCGCACGTGTTTACGTACCTTAACGCTGTCGTTTTGTGGGACCCTAGCAATAATCTACAAGGCTTGGGAGTAGCGGAACGGTCCATTGAAGATCAACCTTTATAGCTTTAAAAATATATCCGATGTAAGGAGCTCATCGTGCATTTTTAATGGAGTATTATAATATTTGGGTGCCTTGAAGCCGTTCTGAATCTTCTCGATTTTAAGTGTTCGATCTTTTTTTTCGAATGTTAATATACTAACACTAAATAAATGTTAACTACTGGCGGTAAATTAATAATCTACCTGATTTAAAATTAACTTATATTATTATATTATAATAATATCACTATAATTACATTTTCTAACCACATCTTATCTTTTGCAATGTAATAAAGATGTAAAGATATAGACCTACATTTACACGATAAGATATACATATCACGTTAGCTAAAACCGCCTTAGCGTACACATAGCCCTATGAGCATCCTGTACGTGTGTACAGCTCCGATATACATGTACACGTAAGGTACATGAATACATTAACATAATATTACGCGAAAATACATACGAGGCAAGATGTATAATTTACTCGAGTTACTTTATTTTGTGCGTGTAAACTATTTACGCGGGTGTGCACGCAAATTCCACATATTTTTCAAACACGTAAGCCCAAGTAAAAAAACAAATGTAAATAGGTTAAATACTGTACAATACTACGCGCAAACATAGGCTATACGATAGTTACGTTCGTGCACATTATGCAACCTATTCAATGCACAAACGTGATCACGTTCCCAACAAGGCTTGAACGTAATCTGTAAGACATCCCCTTATACTGTAGTTAATCTGTTATAGTTAGAAATGTACATTTTTTGCATTCGCAACCAGTGCTTAAAGTGTTGTAG